TTTTTATTAAAACTAATATTAAGTATTCATTGTAGCGATTATTAACATCCACATGTTGATATTATGTATTTGTTAGCAATCTCATTATGTTAGGTTGGTCAAATCTAATTTTATTTGCTGAAATGTAAAAAAAAACAAAGAATTTATTTTCTAATTTCAATCAGAAATGAATAGAAAATATTGAAGTAGTTAAAATGAGTAAGTAATATCATGAAAGTAGAAAATAGAGAAAACATAAAAAATAGAAAGATATGAGAAACTAAAAATAAAAATTTGATGAATTTTTTCCCAAAGAACCAAGTAAATGTTAGAATTAAGCAAGTTTGGGTAGTGGAATGGACATTACAATATAAGAGCAATCTTAATTGTTACATATCTACGAATAGACAAAAAATAGGGTAAATTTTAAAAAATCCCCTAATGATTTTAGGTGCTTTGCATAATACCCTTAGTATTTTTTTCCACTTAACCCCTAAAACTCCAAATTGTCACCTCCATATTTTGTTGAGTAGGATTCAACAATGGTCCTAAATCAGTGATTCGAAACTTCTTTTCTTAAATCTTAATTCACATCGAAATTCAAAAATTATAATAATACTGATGAAATTGGATAGATCCGACCTCCTATGAGCATGGGCATTGTCTAACTGAATTTCTTAGTTTAGATATTATAGGGAAGGCCTGGTAAAAACGCTTGACAGGACCGCATTGTCTAACCGAATTTCTTAGTTTAGATATTATAGGGAAGGCCTGGTAAAAACGCTTGACAGGACCACATAATCCTGATACTTTAGCCCCCAAACTCCGAAGTGTCTCAGATAATCCCTTATTCTTCTAATGTTTCCCTAAAAGCTTTTTAGGTTTATTTGAAACGCTTTAGGAATCTCAAGAATCAAGTACTTATAATCAAGAGTTTTGTGTAATAGAAGGGTACAACTTAATTAAAAGAGTAGAAAAGGACTATACATCATATCATCCATAACAGTTTAAATTTTAATTCTGAGGAGATTTTATATCTGAAACATATATTAATTACTTTCCCCATGCTTGCATTTCACATTGATAATTAGTACACTGATCACTTCACATGCATTCAAATTCTCTCCAAAATTTAACCAAAAATTGACCGTAAATAAATAACAACAATGAGAAATATTGTTCAGACTCATACGGAATCAGAACCTTTGTACTGCAACTGCTCGTACAACATGATTTTGTAACTTACAGAAACAACAAACACTGTCTTTCACTATTTACGCAACTGCTCGTACAACATGATTTTGTAACTTACAGAAACAACAAACACTGTCTTTCACTATTTACACAACAGTATACAAATAAAAACTTCGTGTCTAACTTACAGAAACAACAAACACTGTCTTTCACTATTTACACAACAGTATACAAATAAAAACTTCGTGTCTTTCCTTATCAAAGAATAGAATGTAATCTGATGCAATAAGAATTTGAACATCTAGACTCCTACGTTGTAATCACATGATCCTCATGTTTACAGTGAAGATATTTACTTCGGCAGCAGCCCAAGAAGCCCAATTTACAACAATACCAAAGAACAACTCCTAGAACCAAAGATCAACAGCAAGAACTGACGAGAATATAAACAAAGCCAGCCGAAGATCCTTTTCCTTATGGTGAAATTCAATAAGCAACACTTTTGAAAAATGGACAAGAAACATATAATATATTATTTTGTACGAGAACTACCAACAAAATTAGTGTTTATTACTAACACCGCTCGACTAACATCGTATTTAACAAAACAAAGCAAAACAAAATCAAACCATGCGATTAAACAGCTTCTTGTGATGCTTGTATTGAAATGCATGATTGGTGAAAAGTCACACGTGTGAGCGACACTCCTCGGCGTAGAAGTAGTCATTGCACTCGTCAAATTCAAGGCTACGGAAGCGTCTGGGTAGTCTTTGCAGTGATGGGTGTGGGCATTCATACAAAGCCTACTTCCTTGAGTTGGGCTCGGATTGCTTGACACATGGCGTCAGTGGAGGGGGAGGAGGAGAATGTTGTTTGGGAACTAAGGTTAAGTGCTTTTTATATTTGGAATATGGTTTGGGAGTTACAGATATGGAAAGGCTTTATTTAAGAACCAGAGAGTTACTGGAATTCCAAAGGACCTATTCGTAAATACACATCCATCAATTCCAAAGTGACTACACATCCATCAATTTTTTAAAATTTACCCTATTTTTTGTCTATTTGTAGGTATGTAACAATTAAGATTGCTCTTATATTGTAATGTCCATTCCACTACCCAAACTTGCTTAATTCTAACATTTACTTGGTTCTTTGGGAAAAAATTCATCAAATTTTTATTTTTAGTTTCTCATATCTTTCTATTTTTTATGTTTTCTCTATTTTCTTGATCGCAACGGCTATTCTTGATTGTATGATTTATGTATGCATGCATGTATGGGATACGATGAATGGTTTGATGACATTAATATTGGATTAGTGGAGGGGTTACAAAAAATAGAAGTTAATATTAGTGGACAATTAATAGGAGAAGAGTTATGACATTATTAAGAATGTATGCATATATATGTATGTGTTTATGTTTATATGTATGCATGTATGTGTTTTGAAGGGTATTTTCAGGAGAAATGTTTTAACATGCCTAGCCACTTTTAGAATAGTATTAGATATATATATTACTTTTTATAGCTATCTGCACTGCCCATGTATAATTTACAAATTACTTCTTAAATTGACACATTAAATTATTTTTTCTTTGTAGAAATTTTTTCTTTGACTTTTAGACTATGTAATCACTATATCACCATTTTAGCGGAGAAAGGACCTCACTCTAAATGGCTTCAAGCCAATGCTTGAGTTGAACTGAAGTACATACTATTGCTATTATGTGTATATATTTTTTAAGAAAATTATATCAATACTTTTTAAGTAAAAGAGAGAACATTCTAATATCTAATATTATAAAAACTAAATATAGCCAATTGAGTGATTAGCAAAAGAGAACTTACATCAGAAAAGTGTGAATAATAAGCTAAAAAGGCAAGGTAATGACATTGCCAACAATACTACAAATAGTAAACTATAACGTAAAGTTAACATATTTTGTGAAGCCCAACTCTGACTATAAGCATCGAGGTTTCCATATATATACTTTATAATTTATTTAAAAATATCATATATAGTAATATCGCTGTAATAATATCGTTATTAGGAAAAATTCTTCATGAATCAATATGTTCGTTACGATATATAAGCTATGCACTCCAAATTCTTACGTCTTTTATAGAGTTAAAAAGTTTGAATACGAGCCTCTAACATGTTGCTCTCACAACAACAAAATCCATTTAGCAGATGTGGATATTCAGGATGAATTATGTATCCTATATACAATACAATTGCCCTAGGCAAATGAGTTATAATAGCATTTTTTATTCACATCGTTTAGGGTAAGATTTGATAGGGATATTGTATCAAAGAAAAAAAAAATATTTAGAGCACATAGCGAAATATATCATAATCATCTGTTCTAATTTCGTAAGAAAATAATTCTTCATACTTTTAGTTTTACTTCTACGATACAGAGAATGAGCTATAAAATTAAATGAGAATATTAGATAATATAAATATGAGTAAAACAATAACTAAAAGTTAATAGGAATATGAGTCAAACCATAACTAAAAGTTTAATGGACATATTGCAAGTGAATTCTTATGCAAAATTCTTTTACGAATTGAATGATCACCCATCTTTTGAAGACTTCAAGATACTAATAATTAGAGGTGTTGTATTAGATTAATGTGTTTATAACTCACAAATAGTAGACCACGTGGTCACAGTCTGGGTTGAAGAAAACAATGATAATATTTTATTTAAGAGAGAGATTATTGAGTTGATGATCAATCCCACAAAAAAAAATTTATTTTATTTTTTATTTTTATTCTATTGTTATCAATTTAAATAATCATGATATTCAACCACGTATATTGCACGTGCATCTCAACTAGTATATATTAAGAGGTTTGCTTCGGTGCTCCAAAAATAGGGTTTTTTATTTAATTTTTAAATTAAAAAAAATAACAAATTAGCTAAAATAAGAAAGGGTATTTTAGTCTTTTAAAAATCTCTTTCTTAATCTCACGTCTCAGTTCCACCCGCACAAAAGAAAAAAAGGGAAAAAAAGAAAAGAAAAGAACCAGTTGAATTTCCTTACTTGTAGTTTCTCTTATTTTTGCATACTGATAGAAAATACATGTCCTGCACGGTTTGTAATTTTTTTCCATTCAATCAAATTTACTTCTCAATCTCACGAATGAGGTTAATTAGAAACCAATTGAACCCTCTTCACGCCAGACAGTCTATTTCCAAAAGAAAATCTATCTTTATATAGAAAAATGAATGATTACTGATTTGAAGAACGAGAAATTTAAGGGCTTAACAACTACATCATACTATATAATTAAATTTTTTAAAAAAAGGAAAAAATAAGAGGTACCTTTCATGGCGTTCTCTTTCTCTTCACGAGATTTTTTAGAGTCTGACCAATTTCTTCTAATGGAAAGTGCGGAGAAAAGCTTCGGTTTTAATAGTTAATTAAAGAATTTTAATTAATGATAAATTCTGTTTCTCTCATAAATTGTATTTCCTAAAATAACCTTTCTACCCATAGTTAATTACAATTTTGGGTGTGGAACACTTCATAACCGTCAAATCTATCTACCTAGAATTGTGAGAGCTATTTTTAAGGAATTTATTTACGGATATGTCATCATTGCTCCAACTAATCTCTATGGAGCACGGAAGCTGTAGGCATATATTAATACCCAAGGAACCTTTTGCAACCGTAGGATACACCCCCAACCGTCAATATCTTGTGTACTCCTGTATTAATTAAAAAAAAAAAAAATTCACTGCGAGGTCTTCTCCACTGGGCCGAACAATAGGGGGGCCAATCCGCAAAAATAGTGGGGGTGTATTCGCAATTGACCCTCTCTGTTCCCTCTCTTTTCTTCTCTAATAATCGCCCTCACTCGCCTGAGCTCTACTTTTCTTCGCCGATTCTGCTCACCCCCCGTGACTCACCGCCGACACCTCACGAGAATAACCGCTCTCCGAGGCCTCAACCCCGTGCTTCCTGTCATTATCGTCCCTTCTTCCGTTGATGGAGCATCCGAAGAGCAATAGCGGCGGTACAATTTAAAATTTTTATTGTTTTCTAGTTATTTATCTCTTTATCTAGGTTTTTTCCAAGGGCTAGGGTTTTTGTAGAGGTAATGGGGCTTGGTTTGGGACGATTTAGGGCTTTAGAGGGCTTGGTTATAGAAAGGAGGCTTCGATTTTGCAAGGGGTTTGAGATTTTCTTTATTTCATTAGGGTTTTATGCGTTTTGAGGCCCATTTGATTTACTGGCAAATTTCTAAATAATTTCACAGTTTGTTTGATGTATGAAGTTTATTCCTTGATGTGTCAATGGATCATTACGTGAATACCTTTTTAATAAGCTTTCTTTATCTTTTGGACTTATGTTTATATATGCTTGGATTATTCTAATGGCGAATTTCACGAACCCCCCATGAATTTTGAGGAGTTTTGTACACAAATCCCTGAACTTTCAAAATTATACAAATCCAAAGTCCAAGAGCTAAGAATGTGAGCTGGTTGTTGTTGGCTTGTGCTCCCACATAAATGTTCTTCATTCAAAACTTTCACTAAGTTTGATTTGTCATAGTTCAAACTTATTACTCCACCCGTTATCATCATTTATGAGATTTTTCAATAGTGCAAGGGTATTTTCCAATAGTTCGGTGGGTTTTCTTAGATTTCTCTTCTTTGCTTAGCAGTAGATTGTACAATTATGAAGTTGGAACACTCATTGTTAATGCTGTATGCTGATGTTTTTGTCACTAGATTGCCTCTTCTCAGTTCTCTCATATGTTGCATGTGGTAACATACATAGTTGCTGAAGTATATGAATCTAATACTTGCGGACCACTTGCAATATGATAGTGTCTAATAGAAAGCACCTCATTATTTTGTTACGCTGATGAGGTTGACCAATGCTTTGGAGAAATCTAGGAGTTGGTAACTTGGAGGTATTGATGAAGTAAGAACCACTAGTTTTATTGCCATGCCATGTGGGACTTGGGGTGAGGGTGGGGGTGGGCAGATTTGATGAGGCATACCTTTCTAGGGTACCTCGCCACTTTGTCCTTTGGTAGCTCATTTTGCTAAATTAGATTAGACGGGTATAAAATGTGCAGAATAATACATATGCTACTGATACGGGAGAAATTGGCTCATTAGAAGATTTGATGTTGATGATTATCCATAAAGATAAGCTAAAGATATACTAGTAACCGGTTGATTATGTATGTATGTACGTATGTGTCTATGTGCATGTGTGGGTGTCTATTTGTGTACGTCTGGTTGTTTGTGTGTCTGTGTGCACACGTGCGTGAATGAGCGCATGTGTATGTGCTGTCAAAAAAGAGAATAAATTACATTAAATCTGAAATTAAAAGAGTTAGAACACCAGGTCTGAACGGGTGCAGTCATGATTCACTGCTCTAGAAGATAGAGGACCCGCCTATCGCCCTGACGCAGTCGATCCTTTCCCCCTAGCGGTAAAAGCCCCCGAAAACGGCCGGCCTCCGTACTCGGGCGAGAGCACAGAGCTTTTGCTCAGATGAAGAAGGTTGCCCAAAATAATAATAACACTTAAGTGTATAGTAGCAGAAAAACCCGTGAGAATTTTCTCTCTATTATTATTTTTTTAAATTTTCACTCCACTGTTTTCTTTCTTTACCGTGAGATGAGAGAAGAGAGAGTAGGTAGAGAAAATGAATATGTAATTATGAGATTATAGAGAGAGTTTATATAGGGAGAGAAACGGAATGGATAGTGGAGAGGGTTAAGGAGAAATATGGGGTTAGTTGGAGATTTAAGAGGATTAGATTAAGCCAATTTGACTTTTTCAAAAAAAATCCAACAGTCCCCCCCAAAAGGCAATACTGACTAAAAACACAAAATCAATAAGTAAATCAATAAAACACAAAACAAATATAGGTTGGGCAACCTTTCGTATCGTGAATTCGGAAAAGGTAGCTTCCGGCTTTGAACCTTTCCTTAGTGAGTTCATTGCCACCTGAGGGACATAATGGACTAGGCCTTGAATTAGGCTCCTTGAATCAAGTATTGACGAAAACACACACAATACGTTTTATCTATTGAGCAAAACGTGTTGAGCGTTAAAGGCCATGCTCATAATAACCGACTCATGAGAGTTTCTAAGGGTTAGCCCAGCCCCCCCAACCGCGGCCATCACGGTTTCTCTCAAGTAGGTAAGTCCTCCAAGGGTACTACAGCTGGATATCGTACCCTTCGTAATACACGCGTTGGACTTATTAAGAGTAAAACTCAGCCTAACCACCTGTATCATTAGAGCATCGTCACCATAGAGAAGAAGTAGTAGCATATGCTACATAATGATATATAAATATATCCAGGTCGATGCTCCACACGAGTGTCACTAGTCCAGCTTGTTACTACCACATTGAACCAACATTGGGACTACGTCTCCAAATAGAGGTTGGGTTACCGCTGTCAGTGACCTCATCTATGGGCTTAACCCCATCTCCCTCGATGAATTCAGAACCACACTCCTGGATAATCCCTTAGTCAAAGGGTCAGCAAGATTTTTCTCAGACTTTACAAAGTCCAAGATCACAACTTTGCCTAGCAGACGTTGTACAGATTTATATCTTATTTGAATATGTTTGTTCAATTTTTTATTCACATGCACTTGTTTTAGAAGCTCTATGGTCGATCTAGAATCAGAATGAATGGAAATTGGAGGAGAAGGTTTAGGGACCAAAGGAAGTTCAGAAAGAAAATCTTTTAACCATTCTGCTTCTGTACATGTGGTATCAAGAGCAATCAGCTCAGATTCTATGGTGTTCCTGACAATTACTGTTTGCTTACAGGATTTTCAGGATACAGTAGCACCACCAAAAAGAAAAATATATCCAGATGTGAACTTTACACTGTTAGAATCTGTGACCCAATTAGCGTCACTATACCCTTCAATAGCATCAGGGTATCCAGTGTAAGTCAAGCAATAGTCCACTGTCCCTTTCAAGTATTTGAATACTCTCTCTAGGGCAGACCAATGATCTAGATTAGGGTTACTGGTATATCGGCTCAGTCTCCCTACAACATAAGCTATATCAGGTCTGGTCCGGTTACATATGTATAGAAGAGATCCAATCATCTGAGAATATTTTAGCTGGGATACAGGCTCACCTTCATTCTTCTTTAAGGATATAGAAGAATCATAAGGTGTGGAAACAAGTTTAGTGTTATGATAGTTGAATTTGATCAACATTTTCTCAATATTGTGAGAAAGACTTAAAGATATTCCTCTAGTGTCTCTAGAGATTTTTATTCCAAGTATCATATCAGCAATACCTAAGTCTTTCATGTCAAAGTTCTTGGAAAGATAATCCTTAATCTTTAAAATTAATTCAAGAGTGGTTCCAAAGATAAGGATATCATCAACATATAGACAGAGAATGACATAGTCATTGTTTATCACTTTAGTGTAAACACACTTATCGTGTTCATTCACAGTGAAACCATATTGCGCAATGACTTTGTCAAATTTCTGGTGCCATTGTTTAGGAGCTTGTTTAAGACCATACAAAGATTTAACAAGTTTACAGACTTTGTTTTCCTGGCCCTTGACAATGAATCCTTCAGGTTGGTGCATATAGATCTCTTCATCTAAATCACCATTCAGGAAAACAGTCTTGACATCCATCTGATGTATGATCAGCTTATGAATAGAAGCAAAGACTAATAATACTCGAATAGTTGAGATTCGGGCTACAGGAGAATATGTATCAAAGTAATCAATGTCCTTTTGTTGAGTATAGCCTTTAGCTACTAATCTAGCTTTAAATTTATCTATGGAACCATCAGCTCTACGTTTCTTCTTGAATATCCACTTACAACCTACAGGTTTACAGCCTGGAGGTAAGTCGGTGAGTATCCAAGTATGGTTTTTCATGATAGATTTAATCTCATTATCAATGACTTCTTTCCAGAAAGGAGATTCAGGTGAATCCATTGCTTCTTGGAATGAGTTTGGATCACCTTCAACAAGAAAGATAAAGAAGTCTTCTCCATAATCCGTTTGAATTCTACCTCTTGTGCTCCTTCGAGGTTCAATGTCAAAAGGCTGAGAAGAACTAGATGATGGTAGATGAGAAGGAAAAGATGTTCTAGGATTTTCTGAGATTTTGGATTTGAACGGAAAGATGTTTTCAAAATAAACGAAAAGATGTTCTAGGATTTTCTGAGATTTTGGATTTGAACGGAAAGATGTTTTCAAAATAAACTGCATCTCTAGCTTCAATGATAGTATTGTTAGATATGTCACTAATTTCAGAGTTAATGACTAGAAATCTATTAACATTGCTGTTTAGTGCATATCCAATAAAAACAGCATCAACAGTCTTAGAACCAATTTTCCTCTTCTTAGGTTCGGGAATAGCTACCTTAGCCAAGCAACCCCAAACCCGAAAGAAGTGCATACTAGGAGATCTCCCCTTCCAATGTTCATAAGGAGTTATATCAGAATATTTCTAGGGAACCCTATTGAGAATGAAGCAAGCATAAATGAGAGCTTCACCCCAGAGATTTTCAGGTGCTCCTGAACTGAGTAACATACAGTTTACCATGTTCATTAGGGTTCTGTTCTTTCGTTCAGCTACCCCGTTAGACTGTGGTGTATAGGGAGCAGTAACCTTATGAATAATACCGTGTTCTTGGTAATATTCAGTCATATCAATTGAGGTATATCCCCCCCTCACGATCAGATCTAAGAATTTTGATCTTCCTGTCAAGTTGGTTCTCAGATTCAACTTTGTACACTTTAAACCTATCTAAGACTTCATCTTTGGTTCTGAGAAGATATGTGTAACAATATCTGGAGTGATCGTCTATAAATGTCACAAAATATCTTCTACCCCCTTGGGTAAGAACTCGGTTCGAGTCACACACATCACTATGTATTAATTCGAGAGGTTCGAAGTTTCTAGTTATAGACTTGAATGGTTTTTTAGTGTGTTTTCCTTGAACACAAATCTCACATTTAGATGAGGGATCATGAGAAGATTTGGGAATAAGA